GGAAACCCGAAGTTTCGATTTCCTGAAACACTGACTAAAACCATTAATAATAATAAAATACACAAAAAAAACGTTAATGCGTCAAGGCTGGTAAGGACGTGCTGTGAGTCTTGGATTATTCTCGACTTTTTTGTCCAGAAAGCTTATTTCATTTCATTTTTTTTAATGCAATTGTTTTGGAGATTTTTTGTTATTTTTTATTTTATTTACCTTTAAATTACTAGATTTGATCAACAAATAATAAATAAATAGTAATTTAAGCACATTCCTCACATTCTTTCAACTTAAATTCAAAGTAACTCACAATTTCATGCATAACCCTTTTAATTCAGCTCTAAATATCTTTATTCTTGGAAAATATTAATAACACATGATATTTCATGGCTCTAGATGGGCTTATAGCTCTATATGGAGGAGCTATTCCGCTGGGTCCTAAAGCCATTTCCCCTCAGTGTGCATTCACACACACATGTACACATTATACAATCATTTATTGGTAAAGTTTTAGCATTTTTAGGTTTTTCTGTGTGTACTGAAGCATTCCACTCATTCCTAAGGGGGTCAAATCGACGGATTTGTTACTTTTTAAAATTTCAACCACAAAACTCGAATCCATTCAATGTTTGTGTTTGTGTAGTCGTGCGACTGATGAGCACTCAATTAAAAAAAAAATCACAAATGATTTCCGGGTCAGAATGAGGTTTTCACAGTTCAGGGCTGCGTTTCCCAAAAGCATATTATTAATATTAGATCCTAATATGAGTGAAGCTGTTCCCGTACCTGTCTATAGATGGCGCTCTGTCCGCTCTCTGTGCCATGCTGTCGCTGTCACACACACACACGGTGATGGGTATACACCAGATACAGGGAACGGGTCACGGGTCACTCACAGTAACGTTCCTGGAACAGAATTACACAATATAGTCTAACAGTATCAAACATCCCGCAGAAACACCATTGATACACCGTTCATGAGCGCTTTAAACGCTCCTCCCCATAATGATGAACTGCAGGTTATCACAGCAATGCAGAACAGTAATGATATCGATTCACAAACACACTTGATCAGTTTTAATCGAAAGTGTTTTAATAAAGCACTTCCATTAGTGTTTCAGTCCTTTAGTCTCTGCAAATAAACTATAGCAGGACTCCTGACTCCTTATTTGTCCAAATAAGTGACAAAATAACGCAAACATTTTCCTATTTACATGTTGTGATTTGTATAGTCACAGAGTGTACAAAAAACAAAGTCACATGAGACACAGACATATTTTAACCGTATAAATACTGGGAACTATATTCTCTGAAGGCGAAGCACTGCTACTTGGGCGGAGTGATAACCGCAGCACCTGAGACGCGCTGTGGTGAGGAGCAGAGAGTTCGTTCAGAGTTTGGGTACGGTACGTCTCAGGTGCTGCGGTTATCACTCCGCCCAAGTAGCAGTGCTTCGCCTTCAGAGAATATAGTTCCCAGTATTTATACGGTTAAAATATGTCTGTGTCTCATGTGACTTTGTTTTTTAGGAAATAGGAAAATGTTTGCGTTATTTTGTCACTTATTTGGATTAGTATGCTAGCTGCAACCATTCACATCCAGTCTTTGTGCTAAGCTAGGCTAGCGGTGGGTGCGTCAAACAGACTTATAGCACGCACGGAGATGAAAAAGGCATGTATGGACTTATCTAACTCTGGGGGATAAGGTGAATAGGCTAAAGTCCCAAAAAGTCGGAGTGTTCCTTTAACACAGGTGAAGCGAAATTGACCTTATTTACTTTGTAAAAATCAAAGGCATTATGTTAAGACTGTCTAAAGTACTAGTATGACCAACTAGCAGTTAGTCAAGGGGTGTTCAGTCTTACTTTTTAGTATCAAATTAGACCAGACCAGTCTACGTTTTTATGTAAGTGGCAAATAGCAGGACTCCTGACACACACATGTATTTATTCCACCACATATTTTAGTAAGCATCATGAATTATGTGTCATTCAAAATCCTCAAAACTCATCCTGTGAAAAACATTGTGAAACCGGACATTACAATGGAAACACACTAGTTTAAACCCTTTCAGCGGCTCATTCTTTGCGAAATCAACTTCAAATCTGGAACATAACTTGATCAGACGTATGGCTTTGATTTTTATAGCAATTTAGAATACAATTTTCTGTAAAATATAGTATATTTTGTATAAAAATAAACATTGTTTAGTAATTTGCTTTAGTGAGCGGGGCAAGGCAAGGCAGGCAAGTTTATTTATATAGCACATTTCATACACAATGGTAATTCAAAGTGCTTTACATAGAATAAATTAAGCTAGTTGTCCCACACTCGTGTTACACACACACACGCTAGCGTGACGAAAGTGTGTTTACTAGTTAGGGCTAGTTTCCATAATCAACACTATATAGAGAAAGAAATGCGCCAAAATTCAGAAATCTTTGGAAGATATCACTGAACATTTAGTTAACATTCATCTCTGTTTTTTGTGTTTATTTAAAATGAGACAAATCTGATATTATTTTAATCTGATATCTGTTATTAAACAGTCGATTTAGTCGTTTACCGCTTCGCTAACAGCAGAAACGCTCGCGGGTTTGCGTCAGTCGCTCATGCGGGGCATGTTGTCACACTGAGCCCCTATAGAACTATGATATTCTATTCTATACTATTACGAATTCTATTGGGAAAACATGAGAAGAAGGTGAATAAAGACTGAGAGTCCATGTTCAGAAATTAATAATTATTATTATGCTCTGATGCTGTATTGCTGTGTTTTGCGGTGTTCGTTCTCAAACACAAACATTTTATTTTTAATAATTAAACAATTCCAGTATTTTATATGAAAAAGTTGATCATTTTATTTTATTGACAAAATATTTTAGTTTCTCTTGTATCTTTTTTGATAAGATCAGATAACATGTTAATCTGTCATCTGTTATAATGTACCTATGGGGCATGTTGTCACAGTTCACTCCCGTTCTTTCAGGGGAAATCAAGAATAAAGTAAACACTGTATTAATGAATTAAAAACCACATACTTGTACTAGACGGGGGAAATTAATGTGGGAAAAAATAAATACTGGATGTACACAAACTGAGAAAGGTTAGGTTGTGCCCTGCTCTCCTATACATGTAAACTTCTATAACTCTTTACACTTTCATTTTTTAAGATGCTTCTGCAATAATCTGTTATAATAAAGACCAGCCTTAAATCTGCACTTTAAAGCATTCATGAACTACAAGCATATTCTGAAGATCTTCATGTCTACGAGCTCAGAACGAGTGTTGAAGTTAGCAGGTAAACACACACACACACACACACACACACACACACACACACACAGAGCTGTTTTCTTACCGTTACTCACGAGCTCCTCCAGCAGAGATGAACCTCTCCTCTCTCTCTCTCTGCTCAGGAGATTTTACAGGAGATTAAGTGGCTGAACGGCACAGATTAAACCAGGAAACATGTGGGCGTGGCCATCAGAAACATGTGGGCGTGGCCATCAGAAACATGTGGGCGTGGCCATCAGAAACATGTGGGCGTGGCAAACAGAAACATGTGGGCGTGGCCATCAGAAACATTTGGGCGTGGCCATCAGAAACATATGGGCGTGGCCAATATAAACATGTAGGCGTGGTCAACAGAAACATATGGGCGTGGCCAACATAAGTGTGTGGGCGTGGTCAACAGCAACATGTGGGCGTGGCCGACAGAGACACAACCTTCTCATTACAGACACAACCTGAGCTTTTCTGATGGAATGACAAAGAAATTAGATGACACAAAAAAGACACAAAAGAGAGAGATTGTGATTTAATATTTGTTGCCAGATCGTCTTAGTTACATAGCTACGCTAACTTTTATTAACAAACATTAATAAGCAAAACATAATGCTAAACTTCTGATCTAATTTCCCCATGAACCTTTACATTCCTGGGTTCATCAAATCACTCTATTGTTCAACAGGGAAAGATCATTTACATTCGCTCTAATGAAGGTTTACTCAACTAAATCAGCTGAAGGTTATAATCAGCCGAATCATTCAAAGATAATAGGAATTATCCACATTTGGAGACAAGTTTTTAAATGTTAAAATTGCCTTCATGGACCCCTGTTTGAAAAGCCTGAAAACTATAGAAATTACTTGATGATTAGTTTGCAATTTTCTAGTGTGGTGGCAAACAATTTCCTTACAGACAAACCTGTACAACTGTCTTTAAAGGTTATTTATTTCCAACAGTCATCAGTGAGACAGAGAAGGGAGGGCATCCTTTCCTCTTTATCGTCTCTAAACGAAGAGACATGTCCCGGGTGACACTTTAGAATACGGTTCCTTCGTTAATGAATAACTACACAGGAACAAATGAGTAACACAATATTAACAATCTAGTAACTACTATTAACTAACAAGAAATTCTGATTAACAAATTAGTAAGTAACAGCGCACAGATGAAAGTGGTAGTTCACTATTAAATAATCAATAACTACTTTTTTTAATGCTTCCCAGAGAACTACTGTAAGAATCATGGTAACTAACTAGTAATTACTCAAGTGTTACTACATACTTCTAAAGGAATTACTAATTCTTTTAAGCTTTTTGGTGAAGTTTTAGATAGTAATTCCCATAGAAGTATGTAGTAACACTTGAGTCATTACTAGTTAGTTATCATGATTCTTACATGAAAAGCCAATCCTAAAGTGTAGAATCTTCTAATCCTTCACAAGATATTTGCACACACGTATGAGGTAGGAGACATTAATACAATCTTTTTTTTTTTTTTGCGAGGTATAGGTTAAATAATAAAATCCCTGTATATGGTATTTGGATGGCTGATAACTCAATATGCCGTCACCGTGACTCTGGACAATTTTCTGGCATTCCTCTGGACTGGCATTGAATCACTACAGGACAAGTAAGGTCCCGACAACTGCATTTAAAAAGCCATTTCTTTAAAATTATTCAGTTGATAAATAGTTCTCTAGGAGAGAGCATAGGCTAATTATTTCCCAAATCATAAGTCTGCTATGCTATTACATATTGATAAACCTTGTGTATTTGTTTACAGCAGTTATTAATGTTAATGTAGTGCTAGTCATTTGTCCTGCATTAGTTATTGATTAGTTTTGCATGAACTATTAATCTTCTTCAGTAGTTCTCTGGGAAGCATTAAAAAAATAGTAGTTATCAATTAGTTAATAGTGAACTACCACTTTCATCTGTGCGCTGTTACTTACTAATTCGTTAATCAGAATTTCTTGTTAGTTAATAGTAGTTACTAGATTGTTAATATTGTGTTACTCATTTGTTCCTGTGTAGTTATTCATTAACGAAGGAACCGTATTCTAAAGTGTTACCATGTCCCGTAACTAACACACGCTTGCATCCTCCGTCCTCGAGTTGTTCCTCTAGTTATTGTCAAATAAGTCTCACTTACAACGACTTTGTTGCTAAGAACTTATTTATTCAACAGAGCCCAACAGACACAGTCTCACTCTGTTACGCGGCAGCAAGGATGAAACAGAGAGTGAATCCAATCGCAAGCACATTTAATTAAACAGAAACAAACAGGAAATCCAGGGAACTCAGAACAAGACAGTAGTAACATTAAACAACAACCGACAGCCAACAACTGAAACACAGGGGTTTAAATACACAGACAAACAAGCTAAACAAGATAACAAGGGGGCGTGGTTAATAAGAGACACCTGGGGAGACTAATAGACATAGACGAGGAACACCTGTGGACACTGAGCAACAACATGACAAAAGACAAGACACATGGCAGGATAACATGACAAACAGGGAATCACATGACAGACAAGAACAAGGAACAAAAC